ACACTTCCTTGACATCGCGTTTGCGGCAGTTAGAGACATGGAGCCATAAGTATGCTTTATTCTCAGTGCCATTATAGGGTCATCAACTGGAGATTGAGCCTTGGGCAGTCACTCTTGGTGGATGCCACCTCTGCCACCACAGCCAATGTTGCCCCATATGAAAGGGGGAGCAGACTGTGAGGCCCATCGTCCGCCTATGAGGTTCCCGAAAGCTGGCTTTGCCTCACAGGCCTTACACTGGGTGGCAATTGCCGGGGCACAGGTGGGATGAATGACCCCTAGCTCGTCACACTTACTGTGTAGTAGGGGCTGTATCCCTTCCCCCAGCACCTCCATTTATACATAGCACTGCCATTGGTTTTACTTTCAAGAGGAGGGCTGTCAAGGTCCACCTCTAAAGACCATCCATATGCCCCAAAGGGCTGGACGGCAGGAGTTGGTATGAAGTCAAAGCATGACCATAAAAAATCCTCCACAGCCAAGGACTGCCAGTTTCTAGGGGTGGTCATGAAGGGGCACTGCAGAAGTGTTGATGATGGAGAGGCTATGAGCTGGTAGGGGAGGCTTACACACAGCTACTCCCTTTTTTGTGCTTGTAATAGGGCTTTGTGTCGTATCATGGGTTACTGCTGGTGGGACCTCTTACTTGCATAATTCATGATCGCCAATTCAGGCTATAGAACCACCTGGTTCACTTCCCGCAGGTTGGTATTGGCAACCGGGTTGTCTCTGTATGAGACAACCCCGAGTGTAGGCCTGTGGGACGACCTAGGAAGTGGTTTCTTGGGCAGATTGATCAAACCTGTTTTGAGCTCGAGATGGGCCGAGCTCCATGAGGAATCCTCGTAGGTGGAAACAAAGGGTGGATGCGGCTATGCGCCCCCGTGGGCATTAGCTCCCAATAATGATAATGAAATATATATATATAATATATATATATATATATATATATATATATAATATATATATATATATATATATATATATAATATATATATATATTAATATATATAAAGGTATATGAATTTAAAACATATAGGACGAACGTCATTTTACGATATTTCATATAATCTATGTTCATAAAAATACACGAACCCATCTAGTGTAAACGGATTCCTCTCTTGCAATGGAGAAACGAAGCAGACGTCGCTTTCTCACTGAAGATAGATTGTCAAAGTATATGAATGTTAGTCTAGGCTGTACATTGGTGCTTGATATCAAGCTCCATAATAAACGAATGCTAATGCTCTCTCTCTCTCTCTCTCTCTCTCTCTCTCTCTCTCTATATATATTATATATATATATATATATATATATATATATATATATATGTATGTATATATATACATAATATATATATATATATATATATATATATATATATATATATATATATATATATATATATATATGTATATATATATATATATGTATATATATATATATATATATATATATATATATATATATATATATATATATATATATATATATATATATATAAATTTATTTCCTTATTAACAGACATTTACGGTATATCCCTCTCTTTCTACCTCTATCTTTCTAAGTCTGGTTGTCTGTTTGTCTGTCTCTTTT